GGATGCTATTTGAGTTACCAGGCTCACTTTCGACTTGGTAGCGGAGCTGGCCGCACTCTCGTGTGGTCAGCTCTTGCTCTTCTCATCATCATACTCTTCGGCGCGATCCTCGTGACCACTTACCACCCTGCGCTACCACTCCCAGTACGTTTACGAGGATCTATCCAAGAGCAAGAAGCAACGCGAGAGGTACGACGTCTAGACAACAACATTGGTACCATATATGCTTCATCATTGCGCTACTACCAACCGCTCGGCAACGAGCCAACAGCGCAGCACCTGAAGCATGGGCGGGGAGACCCGCCAGATAGAGCGCCTCGAAGACTCGACAAGGCGCTACCCCAGCGCGGCAACGCGCCTAATAACCACCCCTATCTACACAGCCTTGGGCTGGTTATCTTCGCTATCATATGGTTCGCGCTGGGGGCAGCAATCGGACACATGCGTCGTGGAGACAACAGCACCCATGGGCAAACACATGGCCCATATTGGGACCCTCGAGGCAACGTACCTCTCCGCGAGTACGTGTATGAGGTCAACGCGTGGCTCAACGTCACAAGCGGACGCATGACGCCACAGGCCCAAGCGGCCGCCATGCAACGCGGCCTGGGTGGCCTAGCGAGGACACTCGCCATGAGTGTACCGCCTGACATTATAAATTACGGCGCCGACATCGATGGGGTCCGCACCGACCCAGTGACCTACATCATGTTCCTCCTAAGCATGAAGTTCGAACGCCTGGAAGATGAGCGCCAGCTCACTTCCGGCACACAACTCATCGACCTCCACCTCACGGAGAACGAATCGACGTCACCCTTACCCGATTCGAAATGGCCCGACTTGAGGCACAGTCGGTGGGATTTGACCTTCCCAACTTCCAACTACTAACCACGATCCTGTTCCGCGCCTTAGGCGTCGGCAACCAGCGAGCCACGCAACTCTTACAGCCACTCAATCACCAAATGCCCCGAACACAACAACAGCATGATGAGTTGCTGGAGAGGGCGCGTTCGATAGGTCACCTATCAGAACGGTCTCCTGGCAACGTAGGATATGCATTTGGAAGGGAAGGGGATCTGGTAGCGGGAACTTCTACACTACCTTAACCACTGACGCCCAGCCTGGAAACGTGCCCCAAGCATATGGGCCGATGATCCTGGAGAATCCACTGCTCTGCTAGCAGGAGATCGATCACAACCGAGCTGGGCAACCAGCCCTCCTTCAAGAGAACCTCAACCACACCGTTCTATATAGGGTGAATCAAACCCCCTTACCGACGGCGTATCCACCTACTTGGGAGACGAGGATTTCGACTCCGGCACCGGCGCAGATACGTATCATTCAGACGGTGTGAAGCTTTAGATTTGTCAGATATTATGAATATGGAAAATGACAACCAGCGTGCTGAACACTTGTTTTGGTTGTTGCAACAGGCTAAACTGAGGTGGGGGAGGTTCGCGCGAAAACCTGTGCATCGTGTTAGGAGGAGGATACGGAGGAGCTTCGAGGGAAAAGGTAAAGGCAAACGGGGTCGTCGGAGGTTGAATGGACGAGGCATCGCGGCCTTCCTCCAGAAGCTCTCAGATGAACAGTATGATATATTTTTCGGGGGGAAAGGGCCGTGGCAAAGGCCGTGGGGAGACCTCAGGCAAAGGCAAAGGTAGGCGGGGAAACCCGCGAGGTAGAGACGGCCAGGTCCTAAAGTGCCATGAGTGTGATAGTGCGGACTATCTTGTAAGAGATTGTCTGGCGAAGGGAAACGGAAAGGGCAGATCGACCGAAGTCCATTTTGGCCTTTTTTTACTTCCTCTTCCCCTCCTTTTCCTCCCCCCTCTCCCTCTTTTTTTTTTTTTTTTTTTTTTTTTTCTTTTTTTTTTTTTCTTTTTTTTCTTTTTTTTTTTTTTTTTTTTTTTTTTTTTTTTTTTTTTTTTTTTTTTTTTTTTTTTTTTTTTGTTCAATTTTTTTTTTTTTTTTTTTCTCTTCTTTTTTTTTTTTTTTTTTTTTTTTTTTTTTCTCAAGTGAACCATTTCCATTTATCAAATATCTGAGCCTCCAGGATTTTGAGGCCATGGAACATTTATTTTACACTTGGGTTAGCTGCATGGACAACGTCGACGAGCTCGAGGCGTATGGCCATGGACTGTACGCGTACTACCTCGAGTACGTCCGCAGGTTCGTTGTTGGCAACAGCGAGCTCACTCCCGTGGAACGCGGAACGCTGGGAAACCAGCCTTTCTCTTTCTTCGACTGGATGTTCGGGAACCCAGGCAACATCATGGCCTACGAAAGCAGTGGCGAGGACGTCACTGTAGAGGCCTCGCCTTCAGAGGTTGACCGTAACCTCCAACCTCCACCCGATCTCCCGCCTGGAAACGGGCCTACCTATCCCCGAACTTACGCTGAACTTATAGAAATGGAGTCCCAAGCGTTCGTTGTGGGCGCACCAGGGAGCCCATGCATGCCCCCTGGTTCGCTTGCGCCAGGCGAGTACGGGCCACGCACACTACTGCAAACCCTCATGAGGATGCACGAGCTATTTACCATGGCATATCTTGAGAGTCAAGAAAGCATCGAGGCTGGTAACATGATGCTGCAGGACACTGACGCTTGCGACGACTCGGAGTTAGTGTTGGCAGCCTTGACTGTTATCGACAGCGTGCACCCTGAGGACGTGCAGAGGCATGTGTGGTACTCCCGAGGGAGATGGCGCGAGGCCCTTGAAAGGGCCATCGCCATGCGCGGCCAGGCTCTTCCTCCGCCAGGATGGGGTCTCCAGGCGGCGGGACTATGGCCAAATCATACTGCCATGCGCAACATTGCTGGGCAGCCTGTGCTCGGCAACGAGCCTGAGCCGACAACCGTGCCGCCTACCCCGGGACAGCCGAGCGACGCTCAGACGCCAGCTATGCAGGGAAACCTGCCCGTCCCGGCTGCACCGATGGCAATCATCATTGGCAGTTCTACATCAGAAGATGAAGAGGGCGATGGTTGCGGGCTATGCGGGGATGAAGCCACAATCCTCATGATGGAGGTCACCGGTGAGGAAGAGGTGGACTTTGATCCTGACGAGCCTGACGCACCATCACCATCGGCACAAGCGCCAATTGCGCCGGGCTCCAGCCAGCAGGGGAACCTGCCTCTATTAGCCGATCCACCTGGGATCGCTCAGGAGCCTCCGTAGGCGCCCCCGCCGGCTTTCACTCGGGCTGCCTCGGCAGCCTCTTCTGATGAGAATGCCGGAAGGTCTCGTTCCCATCCGCGCGTCAGAGGAGAGCCCCATCCACGGGCGCGGCTTCCTCGTGAGTGGAGGCAAGCTGGCCCAAAGGAACGCGCTCTTAGGCGAGGAGGCGAACTACTTCCTTATAACGACCCAAGACGTCGGAAAGGGGAACGCTCGGCCTTCGGCAAGGGCAACCCTGCCTATAGGGGCGCTCAGGGCAAGGCCATCCGCGGCGGCTATCAGCTTGTAACAAACATCCGCCGCCCCGAAATAGACGAAGTGCGGACTCAGCTGCGAAACGTCATCGCGGCGCGCAAACTGTATCGGCCCCAGGCAGTTTGCGGACCATGCTCCGAGCCGTTCCAGGAGCACAGGCCGGGATGTCCTGTAGGGCTCAACGAAAGTTTGAGCCCGAACAGGGGCCGTACTCCTCATGAGGAGGGCCATCCGCCACTGATCCCGATGACACAAGACGAGATCGCAGAGATCAATCGTCGTCTCGGGATCACGGTTCACATGGGGCCGAAAGCCGAGGAGGATAAGCCTCCTCCAGCTCCAAGGGGACTGGTGCCCATGACCCAGGAAGAAAAGGACGCGCTCTTTAACCTTCCTGGAATACTCGCCCGGCGTTTCCAGCCAGTCCCAACAGCCAGAACCGACAGCCAACGATGACCAGAAAGCCCAGCGAGTTGCGGCGGATGAGGAACGTATGCGAATAGCCGAGGAACGCGCACGCGAGGCAACTCGCCAGATGCTGATGGATTCCCAAAAGATATACATGAAGGGGGCGAAGAAGCCCCCGCTCCCACTCCAACCGAAGGCTAAGAGCGAAACT